CCGCTGCCTAATATCTACCTACCATGAGTTAAAACTGTATTAAATTGAGCTAAATAAAAGCATGTATGCATGCTTGCAGGTATATCGTATGTACTTAAGCTAGCTCCTTTATGTGTACTAGAAAAAAATAACGAGTAATTCTCATAGAACTACCGTGATTTATGAGATGCTTCACTAAAGCTACGATGAACTTTTTTATTAGAGAAAATTTTCATGAAGTTTCTTCGTTTTTCATACGAGAGGAAATTTAGGTCAGAGGCGTTCATATATCAATACAGAAGGCCCGAGTTTGAATCCTGACAGCACTCTTGGAAAATATCAAGTAGCACTCTTGGAAAATATCAAGAGATATTAGTGTAACTCTAACTCAATTAAAGACAGATTCACCTCAGAGGGAACTTCATCTGAGACTCATCTCTGATGGAATTTGAAGAACACAACACTCTACACAAAGGAAACTTTTATTGATAGAACACTTGAGAATACAACACTTGTTCTTACAAGAACACCTCACTTTCACACAATTCCTTTATTTTGGTGGACACTCACACAAGGCTACACTACACACTCAAGCTCTCAAGCTCACTTCTTGCTTGCTTGCTTGCTTGCTTAAATGAGAGCACAAGACCCCTATTTATAGTTGTTTAAGAGGGCTAGGAAGTGTGTAGAAGAGTTAATCCTAGCCATACATTACTAAGAAGTTTCTAGAAGAATAAATACTAGCCATACACTTGTATCTTCCTAGAAACTTCATGGTAGATATTTTGTAGGATGTTACTAGAAAGAAGTTCTAGAAAGTTGTTCTAGAATAATCTAAGTTGGTGAGGAATTCTAATACTCCCCCTCATCACCAACTTTCATTTCTCTCAAGTCCAAGCTTCTTCTTAAGCTTCAAAAATGTCTCTGTCTTTAGTGGCTTGGTGAAGATGTCAGCGATTTGGTCTTCAGACTTGCAATATGACAGCATCACAGTCTTCTTTTTAACTTGATGTCGGATGAAATGATATCTTGTCTCTATGTGTTTGCTTCGTCCATGTGCTACCGGATTTTTGGCAAGTGCAATAGCTGACTTGTTGTCGATGAGAATCTCTGTCGGTGCTTCTTGTTGGTGTTGCAATTCCTTCATCAGACTCCTGAGCCATATTGCTTGACACGCACATGTCGATGCTGCTATGTATTCTGCTTCGCAACTTGATAGAGCGACGACAGACTGCTTCTTTGATGACCATGAGAATGTTGCTGATCCGATATTGAACATGTAGCCAGATGTGCTCTTTCTTTCATCTAAATCTCCACCATAATCGCTGTCGGTGTAGCCGACTAATCTTGAATCTGCACACTGTGTATAAAATAATCCTTGATCAATACTTCCTCGGACATACCTGAGAATTCTCTTGGCTGCTTTGAAATGCTCCTGTCTTGGCTCCTCCATATATCTGCTCACCAGTCCTACCGCGAACACTATGTCGGGCCTGGTGATGGTTAGGTAGCGCAAGCTCCCGACTAAACTCTTGTATAGAGTTGGATCAATATAGCTTCCTGGTGTGTCTCGCCTCAGCTTCACTCCGACTTCTGCAGGAGTTGCGACTGGATTGCAGTTGCTCATGTTGAACTTCTGAAGGATATCCTTTGCATACTTCTTCTGAGAGATGAAGATTCCTTTCTCTGATTGCGACACTTCTACTCCAAGAAAGTATGACATTTCTCCAATGTCAGTCATCTCGAACTCCTTGATCATATTCTTTTTGAACTCCTCGAACATTTTCGGATTGTTGCCGGTGAAGATCATGTCGTCCACGTAGAGACATACGATCATGATGTCTTCATCCTTCTTCTTGGTATAGAGAGAGTGCTCATACGGGCTCCGATGGAATCCGTTCTTCTGGAAGTATGCATCGATTCTGGCATTCCATGCTCTGGGCGCTTGCTTCAGTCCATACAATGCCTTCTTCAGCTTGTAGACTTTGTCTTCTTGATTCTTCACCTCGTACCCTGGTGGTTGCTTGATGTAGACTTCTTCTTCTAAGTAGCCGTTCAGGAATGCAGACTTCACGTCCATCTGGTAGATCTTCCACCGGTTCTGTGCTGCCAATGCGATAATGAGTCGGATGGTGTCGATCCTCGCGACTGGTGCGAACACTTCTTCATAGTCAACTCCTTCTCGCTGACTATAGCCTTTTGCAACAAGCCTGGCCTTGTACTTCTCGATTCCGCCATCTTGATTTGTCTTTGTCTTGTACACCCACTTTACTCCGATTGGTTTATGGCCTTCAGGTAAGGTAGTGAGCTCCCATGTGTCATTTCTCTTGATTGCCTCGATCTCGTCATCCATGGCTTTTCTCCACTTATCTTCTTGAGCAGCTTCTTCATAGCTGACCGGATCACATTCTGCAAACAAGCAGAATAGTGTGTAGTCATCCATCATCTCGACAGGCTCTGTATCGTCGTACAGATCTCTTAGGCTTCTCATCCTCCTTGTTGCTCCCCCTGAAGAGCTTCCTTCACTTGAGCTGGATGATGTCGGCGTTGATGTTGGGGTTGATGGAGCTGGACTATTAGGTGGACTTTGTTCTGGTCTTCCAACCTCCTGCAAGTCATCATCATTATCTTCAAAGAACATACCTTTAATATTTTTATCTTCATCGGTCCATTTCCAATAATCTTCTTCATCGAACTCCACGTCTCTTGAAATGATCATCTTCTTTGTAACTGGATTGTAGAGCTTGTATGCTTTTGTCCTCCTCTCGTACCCAACGAATATGCACTTTTCTCCTCGATCGTCCAACTTCTTTCTTTTCTGCTCCGGGATGTGTGCATATGCAATACACCCAAACACCTTCAGGTGGTTGACACTTGGCTTGATGTTGCTCCACATCTCCAATGGTGTCTTGAACTTGACGCTCTTTGTCGGACATCTGTTGAGGAGGTAAACTGCACAGTCCACGGCTTCAGCCCAGTAAGTCTTTGGCAGGTACTTGCTCTTCAACATGCTTCTGACCATATCAAGAATGGTACGATTCTTCCGCTCTGCTATGCCATTCTGCTGTGGTGTGTAGGCGGCAGTGAGTTGATGAATTATCCCGTACTGCTTGTTGAAATTGTTGAATGCCTTCGAAGTGTATTCTCCACCTCGATCTGATCGGAGCACTTTGATGTGGTACCCACTTTGCTTTTCTACCATCTCCTTGAATTCTTTGAATTTCTCCAGAGCTTCGGATTTCTCCTTCAGGAAATAAACCCAAGTTTTTCTGCTATAATCATCAATAAATGTGAGAAAATACCTGTTTCCTCCAAGAGAGATGACTTCAAATGGTCCTGCAATATCTGTGTGGACCAATTGTAGCAACTCTGTTGCTCTTCTTGACTTTCCAACTTCGAAACTTCTTCTATGTTGTTTGCCCTTCATACAGCCTTCACATAGCTGGTTCGGATGGTTGATTTGCGGCAATCCTTTTACCATTTTCTCCTTCCATAGAAGATTCAGGCCACTGAAAGCGAGATGCCCGAATCGTAGATGCCAGAGCCAAGTCTCGTCTTTTATGATTGACTTCAAGCACTTGACAGGGTCAGCATGAATATTTAAGGTAAACAGTCTATTTCTAGACATGTTCACCTTTGCAATAACTTCATTTTTATTTTTAATAGTGAGGGCAAGGTCTTTTAGATGTATATCATAGCCTCTTTCAAGGAGCTGGCCTAGGCTCAAAATATTATTTCGTAATGCTGGAACATAGTAGACATCAGAGATGTACCTGTTCTCGCCCGTCTTTGTCTGGATCATTATATTGCCCTTGCCTTTCACTGGAATCTTTGACTGATCTCCAAAGGTGACATCTCCTTGTACCGTCTCGTTCAGCTCGGTAAAAAACTCCTTGATGCCGCACATGTGGTTACTGGCACCTGAATCTAGATACCAGATATCTTTATTCTTGCTTTCGCTCTCCTGGTACGTCAACAGGACTGTTGAAGTGTCTGCCTGCTCCCTTTCTACAAAGTTGCTTCTTTCTGCCACTTGATTTGATTTCTCCCAACATTCGTAGCTGAGATGACCGTATCTCTTACATTTGTAACACTGTGGCTGAGATCTGTCCTCATGGTAACTTCTTCCTTGTCCTCGTCCTCGTGTGCCACGACCTCGTCCTCGATCGAATGATCGTTCACGATCTCTATTTCGATCTTGATTTTCATGGCCTCCTTGGTACTGTCTCCTACGACCTTGCTGGAAGTTTGAGCCACCTCGAAATGAGCCTCTGCCTCTGTAGCCTCCACGTCCTCTTCGACTATCTTCTTTGATAGTCATCTTACTCTGCAAGGCTTGTTCTAGATTCTCCGCTTGATTTGAACTAATGTTTATATCTTGTTCATAAGCTTGCAGAGAACCTTGCAGCTCATCAATAGATACTTCGGAAAGATCTTTAGACTCTTGTATTGCCGGAATAATATATTTGAATTTAGAGTCTAAAGTCCTAAGTATCTTCTCCATAATTCTTACATCATTAATTGCTTCTCCATTTCTCTTCATTTGATTTGTTATTGTCTGAACTCTACTAAAATAATCCGATATTGATTCTGTAGCTTTCATCTTCAAATTTTCAAATTCAACTCTTAATGCTTGGAGGCGTACCTTTTTGGCTCTTTCCGCACCTTGATAGGATTTTTGTAAAATCTCCCATGCTTCTTTAGAGGACAGGGCATTGGAAATCTTCTCAAACGCAGATTCATCTACGCCTTGGAATATTAGGAACAAAGCTTTTTTGTCTCTTTTTCTGACCTCCTTCAACTCACTCTTCTGAGTGGCGGGGGGGGTTTCTTCTGCTGCAGGTGACTCCGGTTCAGTGTAGCCATTCTCTACGAGATCCCACAAGTCTTGCGAGCCGAGCAAGACTTTCATCTGGATACTCCAGTTGTCGTAATTGGTCTTCATCAGCTTCGGAATCTGTGGCTGGATCATGTTCGCCATCTCGTACACGAGCACCTTCGATTGGCCCGGCTAGATCGAACTTTGCTCTGATACCACTTTGATGGAATTTGAAGAACACAACACTCTACACAAAGGAAACTTTTATTGATAGAACACTTGAGAATACAACACTTGTTCTTACAAGAACACCTCACTTTCACACAATTCCTTTATTTTGGTGGACACTCACACAAGGCTACACTACACACTCAAGCTCTCAAGCTCACTTCTTGCTTGCTTGCTTGCTTGCTTAAATGAGAGCACAAGACCCCTATTTATAGTTGTTTAAGAGGGCTAGGAAGTGTGTAGAAGAGTTAATCCTAGCCATACATTACTAAGAAGTTTCTAGAAGAATAAATACTAGCCATACACTTGTATCTTCCTAGAAACTTCATGGTAGATATTTTGTAGGATGTTACTAGAAAGAAGTTCTAGAAAGTTGTTCTAGAATAATCTAAGTTGGTGAGGAATTCTAATAATCTCGAGATGCCTCAAGCTGTAACCAAAGGGAATCCCTCAAATTATCTTGATCTCATTTAATTTAATGCCCTCCGAATAGCGAGGCGAATGGATGGGGTTCTAACCCAAACAGCCAGGGTGTTGCATTTCAACCCGCCAATCACATGGATGATCCACAACCGGCAAATGTTCAGTCTTTTGGAGTTAAATCCAATATACGGTCCAGTATATTAAATAAATATGTATTATGTGTTATTAGTTAAGGTTAGCTTATTAACGTGATCTAATTTAGGGTTTGAACTTTTAGTGCATAATTAAAGTATGGGTCTACTATGTGTAGAGACCAAAATATATAATTGTTAGTTCTATGATGGGCTAAATTAATAATTATGAATAACTGGATTCAGTTATAAATAGGGTTATGGTTTCCCAAATCTCTATGTACAATCTCTTTCCGATTTTTCATCTTCAGAAAGTTTGGGTTTCTCTAGGGAGGATATACGTATAAGATTTGGAAGATCTACATATCAAAATTCAAGAATCACGTCCTACTCCATGGATTTAGATATGGTTCCGTATCTTCTTAATTATCTTAATAGTTTGACATGAATAATCTTGGGATTGATTAGGGTTTTATCTCTTAAAGTAAGAAGTCTATCTTTTTATCCAAAAAATGTATCAGAGCGGTGTTTATGTTAATCTATTGAGAAATAATTTTAATTTGTGATGTGGTTCTCTTGTATGTTCTCAAATCTAAAAATTATTCGTTTCGAATTGTTTGATTTGAGAATAAAATTTGGTAGTTCTTCTTCTTATATATTCTTCATGATTTTGGATTCAAAAGGGTTATCATATTTTGAATTTTATAAGTCCAATTTAGAAGAATTCATGTTTGATCGAAAACTAGGTTTTTTTTAATGTCATGGATATGCGTAATTTTTTTTTTTTAATTTGGATGTTTTGATTCAATTTTTATTATTTGGGTTTGGATCGAAGTTTATTAAAGAAAGATTTCAGGTTAGCAATTTTTAAAAAAAATTACTACAATGCTAGGTTTTCTGCTGCTATCGCTATAGTGCCGGCGAAAACAATTATTGCTATGGTGCTTGGTTTTCTGTCGGGAAAATTTGCAAAATAGACCGTTTTTATAAAGTAATTAGCGAAATAGATCACTTTTAAAAGTAATTAGCAAAATAGACCTCTTTTTGGCCAATAGGCTAAAAAGATGTCGATTTTGAAAAAATGGCTTCAGAAAACATACGGGACTACTAGTCCCGTATGTTTAAAGCTAACTAATCTAATGATTAGTGCACTAATCATTAGATTAGTTAGCTTTAAACATACGGGACTAGTAGTCCCGTATGTTTTCTGAAGCCATTTTTTCAAAATCGACCTCTTTTGTCAAAAAGAGGTCTATTTTGCTAATTACTCTCAAAAGTGATCTATTTCGCTAATTACTTTATAAAAACGGTCTATTTTGCAAATTTTTCCTTTTCTGTCACTGCCTCGATCTATAGTGTCAGCGAAAAAAAATTCTACAGTGTTGGGTTTTCTACCGCTACGGCTATAGTGTCGGTGAACAAAAATAATCAAGAGAAAGCATTCAAGTGGGCTTGCTTTTGGACTTTTTTTATTTTTTTTATTTTTAATGATTGAATCAGGCACACCTGCACTGTTGGGCTAGTATTTGGAATTTGATTTTTTTATTCAAAATATCCGCATTAAAGTTTATTAAAATATATGATGTATTAAAAAAATTGATTGAAACAATATGTTACCAAAGTAGCCTCTCTTGAGTAGATCAATTTATTTTAAATATCAACATGGTAGTGTGTATATGGTTTATGAAAATATTAATCAGCCCAAAGGAAGGTTAATATTTGAAAAAAAAATCATATGCATATCTATAATGATAAATATGACCAATAATTCGGTTTTATATGTGAACAATAAATCGGTCGAAAGAAGGTTTATTATTTGACATGTCTTATTGTCAATGTCTGATCACCACACTAAGAGTACCACTTACAAATTAATATTTCTTTTCAAAGACTAAATATTAATATTGTAATATCTTGAGATGGGCATTGCTAATTTTAAATTTATAAATTTTGATTTGGTTTCTTATGCGAGCTTATTTATTTTCTTATGTTTTTCTCTGATTCAGTTGTTAGTTCTGCTTCAAACATCACTACCAACATTAATTCCATGGATATCGACTTTGTGTTAAGGCTTCCTTCTCCTGCACCTCTTAGGGATAAAAGTTCCACTGATGAGAAAAGGGATGTGGAGAGGTGGGAGAAGTTAAATTGCATGTGCATGATGATCATGAAGATGGTCATTCCAGAAGCATTCAGAGGCACTACGTCTGAGAAGATAACTAGTGCTAGAGAGTTCCTTGAGGACATTGAGAAAATGTTTGCTAAGAATAAAAAGGCTAAAACTAGTACATTTTTAGCAAATCTTATCTTAATGAGATACAAAGGGAAAGAAAATATTAGAGAGTACATCATGGAGATGTCTCACACTGCTTCAAAGCTGAAAGCGCTTAAGCTTAAACTCTATTAGGAATTGCTTGTGCATTTGGTTCTTATATCTCTTCCCAAAGAATTCAGCCAATTTAAAGTGAGCTACAATTGTCAAAAGGAGACTTGGTCTCTTAATGAGCTCATCTCACATTGTGTGCAAGAAGAGAAAAGGTTGAAGTAAGAAAAGAGAGGAAGTGCTTATTTAGCTAATACTTCCAAGGACAAATGGAAGAAAAGAATGAAAAATAAGTAAGTTGTAGAAGCTCAATCACAAAAGAAATAACACAAGGCAAATAATAGAGATGGTTGTTTCTTCTGTAGGCTACGGAACATAATAAAAAACTATATCAACTATCACGCATGATGTGCAAAGAAAGGTTCATTTTTAATTTTGTTTGTTCTAACATACGTGGTGGTTAGATTCAGCTATCACAAGTAACATCAGTGTTTCTATGCAGGTGCCTGAGCTGTCGGAAGCTAAGTGACGGTGAAAGATACATCTATGTGGGTGATGGTAAAAAGGCGGCAATTGAAACGTTTAGGTTATTATTAAAGTCCGGTTGTTATTTGGATTTAAAAGAGACTTATTTAGTACCATCATTTAGACAAAATTTGTCTTCTATTCCTGTGTTGGTACCAATGCTTTATCTTATACTGATAACATTTATTTGCTTGATACAGTTGTTTCATATTATGAAACCTTACAATTAAGCACTTTAGGTGTAAAGAGAAAATTGACTAATGAGAATGTCGCTTCATTATGACACATGAGATTAAGTCATATCTCCAAACATAGAATTGAGAGACTTGTGTCAGATGTGATTCTTGATCCCCTTGATTTTTTAAACTTTAAAATTTGCACTAATCGCATAAAGGGGAAATAAACAAACATTAGGAGATTTGGTGCCAACAGGGCTATAGATGTCTTAGAACCGATACATACTGGTATTTGTGGGTCATTCCCTATAGTTTTTTAGAATGGTCAATAATATTTTATCACATTCATAAACGTTTTCTTTGCGTTATGGCTACTTTAATCTCATACATGAAAAGACCCTATCACTAGACATGTTCAACGCTTACAAAGCTGTAGTGAGAACCAACTCAATAAAAATGTTAAAAGTGTTATATCTAATCGTAGTGGTGAGTGTTATGGCACATATGACGGTTCAGGTGAATAACGCCTGGGACCATTTGCTAAATTCCTAGAGGAGTACGGTATCGTCATACAACACATCATGTCTAGTTCTCCTACCATGAATAATGTTGCCGAAAGACGAAATTGAACTCTTAAGGACATGGTAAGAAGTATGACAAGTTATTCCAACTTAATTACCAGAATCTCTCTGGGGAGAAGCATTAAAGACTTTAGCTTACATACTTAATAGAGTACTCACTAAAGCGACTGCCAAAACCCCTTATGAACTTTGGACAGCAAAAAGCCTAGTCTAAAGTATCTGCACATTTGGTGATATCCAACTGAGGCTAGGCCTTATAGGCCACATGAAAAGAAACTAGACTGTAGAACGATTAGCTACTATTTTGTTGGTTACTCTGAGAGATCTAGGGGTTACAAGTTTTATGAAGTTTTATGATCCTGCTTTTAAGTCAATATTTAAAATGAGAAACGCTTGGTTCTTTGAGGTGTTGAGTTTGCGGGGTAAATAAGGTTAAGGACTTTGTCATTAAAGAGGAATATGTTAATACTCCCATAACTGCTATTGATATTGATGAGGCTTCTATTCCTGACATTATTTAAAAAATAGATCCAAATCAAAATAATATCATAAAACCTCCTGTTCTAGAAATTGTTCCGGAAGAACAAACTCCACCATCTCAAAAACATGTGTCACGCCCCGCTTCCCAAAATACCCGGGAATCGAAACGTGAACAAGCCCGCAACGTATTAGGTTGAGTAGAAATAAATAAATAAACTCTTTCTACTCAATCTAATACGCTAAGCGACAAAAATATAATATACGAAGTCACAGGTCCCCGATCACAATCAGCAAAAATATAATAGACAAACTCAGAATAAAAATATCATATCACAAATAGGATAACATCTGAGACGTAATATTCGGGTCAACATGCCCTTATACAACTATCTGAATGAAATACCGAAGAATATAAAATACAATGATCAGGAGGAAAAGGAAATGCTACGAAAATAAACTGAAAAGAATAACTAAGCTTCAACTTATTCTTCTGCTCTATCTACAAGGCACTCCTGCTGAGAATCCTCCGGTTCCTGTACGATTTTGAGCTGAGGCCGTCCGTCTCCTAAATCTGACGTACACCAGAGAAAATAGGTGTACATCAGGGTGCATGGCACACAGCAAGATCCCACAAAGAGAATAGGATCGGTCGAATGACCAATGCAATAACAATAATAATAAATAGAAACATGCAGCTGAAATACTAACAAGCTAGATGCAATCCATCACTAGAGTATAACGATCATAAGAATCCATAATCATCCGCGTAACAAGGACATGCCCCTAGATAGAATTACGACTTAAAAATCTACAACTCGAGACGTAGTACGTCGAGCGAAATAATCCAAACAAGGAAACCCTCATGTATATACCATATGTCTCAAATTGTAGATAATTAAATATTAATCCTAATCTAGGTATGGAAAGAAATATAACTGGTCCACATCTCACAAGAACCCATAAACATTCAAACAACAAAGTCATGTAGCTAACCATCCTATAACAAGTCACTGGTCTACCTCTCACATATAGTTAAAACTCATATTCATGAATAACCGGTTGTTCACAAATCATCCACACGTAACGTTTCACTGCCTACAACAGGTCACTGGTTCACATCTCACACAGAGTCAAAGTTCATATTCTCGGATAATCAGTTGTTCACCAAATCATCTACGCACAACGTTTCACTGCCCCCTCAGACCCACTCCAGCGCTACACAGGAATATCGCTGGTGCGAGCCTGGAAATAATCAACAATCACATCACCTCAGACCCACCCCAACACTACACAGGAATATCGTTGGTGCGAGCCTGGAATAATCAACAATCACATATCACTGCACCTCAGACCCACCCCAACGCTACACAGGAATATCATTGGTGCGAGCCTGGAATAATCAACAATCACTCAGACCCACCCCAACGCTACACAGGAATATCATTGGTGCGAGCCTGGAATAATCAACAATCACAATATCACATATCCTCAGACCCACCCCAACGCTACACAGGAATATCGTTGGTGCGAGCCTGGAAATAATCAACAATCACATCCGATCTCCTAAACCAAGAATTCCTCATCTCAACTCTTCTCGCTTTTCTAAGTCAACACAACACATGCCTCTAGGTCTTATTCATGTCACACAGGTCACTATAGCCATAAAATCCTAACGATTCTCAATTATAACAAGGGATGATAAATACAATAAATACTATGTAACAGTGTCATGAATCATGAATAGGAAATGTGAACAACTACTAATAACAGTACAAGATGAAACTACAACTATCAAATAAATACACATGAAATGTCGTAATTTCCAACCATCATGCTCATAAATTCATTAATTCAAAGATAAATCCTTTTAATTTATTTCTCATAAATTATTCAAAAATAATCTTTAAAATATAATATTATTATTATTTATTCTATATGAAAAGTAACTATTTTTTTATAAATTATTTCTATTTTTTCTTTTCAACAATATCTCATAAATTTTATCCAATTTTCCAAAATATAAACTTGTCATTTTATATTCATCAATTCACAAGTAATTCCACACATAATTATCACATGAAATAACTATTCAATATTATTAATTAATCAAAAATAATTTTAACACGAGACAAGTGAGGGGATTCTTGCCTCGGGTTGGCGTCGGGCAGCGTCGGCTCCGACGGGCTCGCTGATGGCTAGAATGTGGCGGTTCTGCAGCTGGATATGCGTTGGCATTTCGTCGAACACGTGGTGTGCGATGGAGGCGTTGGTTGGTGGCGAGCTCGACAGCGATGGGTTGCTCACTGCTGGTTGGAGGTGTCGAAGAGGGGCTCACGGCAAGGGTTTTCAAAACAAAAATAATTAAAATAAATAATTACAGGTGTTTAAAAATTAAACTAATTACAGAATAATTATCTACAATTAAAAACGTACATACTGTGCTAATACAACAGTTGATACGAAATAGTCGAAATATACTCATATTGTATTATTAAATTAAAATAATTAATAAATAAAATATATTTACTTACATTTAAAATCAAATAATTATGGGATAATTATATACACAGTAAAACGTACTAGTTATACTAATACGACAGATAATATGTAATAGTTAAAATAATACAACAAATTATACACAAAAATACGTAATTAATAATACAAAGTATTATACAAAATAATACGTAATAATATTAATAATACAACATATTATTTAAAATAATACGTAATAGTACTGATACCATAACAAATTAATTCTAGAAAATTTTACTGCACGAAATAAATTGATAAATATTAAAACCATGTAAATAAATTCTAGAAAATCAAGAAAATACAAATACTCTTTTAAAATAATAATTGAATATTTTAAAATACCTAAAAATTATTTTAACTAGTATCGAAAATTCATGGTCCTTACAACATATGCCATTAAGAAGATCCACTAGAGAAAGGAGAAGTGTAGTTCCAAATGGTTATATTATATTTTCCAAGAACATGAGGATGACATCGGTATAGTAGAAGATGATCCAATTAACTTCCGTCAAGCCATTAAAAGTTCTAAATCTTAACAGTGGATTGATGCCATGAATGAGGAGATAAACTCTATAAAGGACAATGACGTCTGGGTTCTTGTCCTATTACCTGAAGATGCGAAGCCCATTGGTTGTAAATGGATATTTAAAATCAAGAGGGACTCAAAAGGCAATGTCGAGAGGTACAAACCTCATCTTATCGCTAAAGGCTTTACACAGAAAGAAGGGATTGACTATAAAGTGACTTTCTCTTCGGTTTCATCGAAATACTCTTTCAGAACAATAATGACACTTGTGACACATTTTGACCTTGAGATACATTAGATGGATGTAAAGATTATGTTTGTCAATAGCG